ACACACACACACACAGCATCTAATTGGTAGCATGTCTTCTTAATAGCACATAAATTGACAGCATGCTGTGTAATCAGTGATACCTACAATTTAAGAAATATCCGAACAATGGCTTCTACCTTAAGCATAATAGTAGCACTGTTTCTTTTTCCATTTGTTCTGTTTACAGACTTTATGCAGTTGGTGGTCGTGATGGAAGTTCTTGTCTCAAATCAGTAGAATGCTTTGATCCTCATACTAATAAATGGACACTGTGTGCACAAATGTCAAAAAGGAGAGGAGGTGTTGGAGTAACAACTTGGAATGGACTGCTATATGCTATTGGAGGACATGATGCCCCTGCATCCAACTTGACTTCCAGACTCTCAGACTGTGTGGAGAGGTAATTTCCTGTGTAGAAAATTAGGAGCAAAAGTCTCTAATCTTTGAGAAAAATAAACAGCTCTTTATTGAGCATCCATCACATGCAGAACCATTCAGTAGAGGAGCCATAAACATCAAGTTGTCTGCTCTGGCCATCTCTCTCTGCCTCCCAGCAGACTACTCAGAATCTTCCTTCATCATTACTGCCTACTTTCCCTTAAACTTAATTGCATAATTTATTAATTGAAACCTATGACAAATATTTACTGCATTCTATATTGGACACTGCGCTTAATAAAAGAAAAGGAGCTGGATGAATTTCAATAGCAACAAATTCAGGGCTGGAACCTAAGAAGCAAAAAAGTTAAATGTTTATCTTTTTCTCTTAAATATGTTCAAGTGTTTTTTATTCAGATAATAGATAATAAGAAAAAAGACTTGAAGAACGACTGTTTTACATAAAGTATTACAAGAACAATATCAACTCTCATTCTAAAATTCTCTTTCAGATATGATCCCAAAACAGATATGTGGACTGCGGTGGCATCTATGAGCATCAGCAGAGATGCAGTGGGGGTCTGTTTACTTGGTGATAAATTGTATGCTGTTGGAGGGTACGATGGACAGACTTATCTTAATACAGTAGAGGCTTATGATCCCCAGACAAACGAGTGGACCCAGGTACCGTATTTCTTTTCTTTTTCTTCTTTTTTGTACCAGAGATTGAACTCAGGACCTTGCACTTGCAAGGCAGGCACTGGCTCCACTGAGCTAAATCCCTGACCCAGCATTTCATTTTTGATTGCCAAACTTACTCTTCATGAAAACAACTCCTTCTGTAAAGAAGAGCCTCATTTTTATCCCATATTGACTATACCACATAAATATAATGAAGTTACCCCTGAATAAATACGAAAAAATGAGACAGTATTTAATTTTCATAGTATAATTAAAGACCAAAATTATCTTTCAAATATAGGTTAATACTATGAGAAATTAACAATTGCTGTGCCATCATTTGCTTGGTAAAATGTTCCAGCGTTGATAGAACTGATGCCGTCATAGGAAGGCTGTAACAAAGGGGTGGGAGATTGTGGAAAAGTTTGTGGAAGCAAAGTTAGAAAAGCTTGAACCATTTCCCCATATATGATATGTGAGCAATAATTTTTATATCCTGATACTTGAGAACATTATATTTCTGGTCATAACCTAATGAAGATGGTATTCCCAAATTACATCAACAGGTAAGAAACTTGACTGACAAACATATTTCTGGGGTAGCCTAACACTTGTACACATAATCTTTTGAGATCTTTGTTTCCATCATCACAAGACCAGAATAAGGAATTTTATACTTGTAATACCTGATTCAGTATCTGGTACATAAAAGGCACTCAGTAAATATTTAACTGAGCCAGAGTTTTCTTGTACAGAAAAACACTTAAGTATTTTCAAGAAAACAAAGCTTAAAAGAATCCCTTCTGCCACAGAATTTAACTTCTTGTGTAGGTGAGATGTATTTGTGCAAGGGGAGAACCCACAAGATATAGTAAGTGGCAGTGTTTCTTCAAACAGAAGAAAGTGGTTGTTGGGAAGGCTTTAGTGAGAAAGAAGTAAGATTTGAACTAATCCTTAGTGAAATGATCCGGTTCAGAAAGGATGGAAAGAGCCAGAGATTTAGCTCAGTGGTCCTGCCACCTGCCTCGCAAGCACAAAGTCCCAAGCTTGATCCCCAGTACCAAAAAAAAAAAAAAATGGAAAGAGAGGACAAATTATGTAACAAAA